CTATTTTGTGGCCAGAATTTGTTTTATACTCTGATGAAGATTTAATTTCCTCATGTTTACCATATCTGAGTTAATTGAAATTTCTCATCGTTGAACTTCATATTGTTTTCTGCAGCCCACTGAAAGATTTGGTTGATGTCCGCCTGGAGCCTTGCAGTGTCTGCAATGGAAGACACTGTCATGCAGATTCGGGTGTCATCTGCAAAGGAAGACACGGTGCTGTGGCTGACATCCTTGTCTATGTCGGATATGAGGATGAGGAACAAGATGGGAGCGAGTACTGTGCCTTGTGGAACAGACCTTTTCACCGTAGCTGCCTCGGGCTTTACTCTGTTGACGACTACTCTCTGTGTTCTGTTAGTGAGGAAATTATAGATCCATCGACCGACTTTTCCTGTTATTCCTTTAGCACGCATTTTGTGCGCTATTACGCCATGGTCACACTTGTCGAAGGCTTTTGCAAAGTCTGTATATATTACATCTGCATTCTTTTTGTCTTCTAGTGCATTTAGGACCTTGTCGTAGTGATCCAATAGTTGAGACAGACAGGAGCGACCTGTTCTAAACCCATGTTGCCCTGGGTTGTGTAACTGATGGGTTTCTAGATGGGTGGTGATCTTGCTTCTTAGGACCCTTTCAAAGATTTTTATGATATGTGATGTTAGTGCTATTGGTCTGTAGTTCTTTGCTGTTGCTTTACTGCCCCCTTTGTGGAGTGGGGCTATGTCTGTTGTTTTTAGTAACTGTGGGACGACCCCCGTGTCCATGCTCCCTCTCCATAGGATGGAAAAGGCTCGTGATAGGGGCTTCTTGCAGTTCTTGATGAACACAGAGTTCCATGAGTCTGGCCCTTGGGCAGAGTGCATGGGCATCTCATTTATCGCCTGCTCGAAGTCATTTGGCGTCAGGATAACATCGGATAGGCTTGTGTTAATCAAATTTTGCGGCTCTCTCATAAAAAAATTCATTTTGATCTTCGACTCTCAGTCTTGTTAGCGGCTTGCTAAAAACTGAGTCATATTGGGACTTGAGTAGCTCACATTTCCTTGCTGTCATCTGTGTAGGACCCATCTTGTTTAAGTAGGGGCCCAATACTGGACGTTGTTCTCGATTTTGATTTGGCATAGGAGAAGAAATACTTTGGGTTTCTTTCGATTTCATTTATGGCTTTTAGTTCTTCCCGCTATTCCTGACTCCTAAAGGATTCTTTTAGCTTAAGTTCGATGCTTGCTATTTCTCTGACCAGTGTCTCCCTACGCATTTCAGATATATTGACCTCTTTTAGCCGCTCTGTTATTCTTTTCCGTCGCCTGTAAAGGGAGCCCTGTCTCTTTCTATTTTACATCTACTCCTCCTTTTTCTTAGAGGAATAAGCCTTGTGCATACATCGAGTGCCACCGAGTTAATCTGTTCTAGGCATAAGTTGGGGTCTGTGTTGCTTAGTATATCTTCCCAGCTTATATCGGTTAGGACTTGGTTTACTTGGTCCCACTTTATGTTTTTGTTATTGAAGTTGAATTTGGTGAATGCTCCCTCGTGACTAGTCTCATTATGTCGGTCTGGGCTCCACGCATACATGTCTGAACCTCAATTATGTTGTGATCTGAGTATATTGTTTTTGATATGGTGACATTTCTTATCAGATCATCAATGTTAGTGAAGATGAGGTCTAGTGTATTCTCCAGTATAGTAGGCTCTATTATTTGCTGGTTTAAATTGAATTTTGTGCAGAGATTTAAAAGCTCGTGTGAGTGTGAGTTTTCATCAGAGCTGCCTCCTGGTGTTATTACTGCAACAATATTATTTGCTATATTCCTCCATTTTAGGTGCCTTAAGTTGAAATCCCCCAGGAGCAAGATGTTGGGTGCAGGAGCTGGAAGATTTTCCAGACAGTGGTCAATTTTTAACAGCTGTTCCTGGAATTGCTCGGATGTTGCTTCCGGAGGCTTGTAGACTACACAATGACTAGGTTTTGGTTCTCGACCTTTACTGCTAAAACTTTCACTACGTCATTTGAGGCATTTAGCAGTTCTGTGCAAACAAGTGACTCTGCAATGTACAGGCCAACCCTCCCCTTTTGCCTGTTCACTCTGTCACATCTGTATAGGTTGTAACCTGGGATCCATATTTCGTTGTCCAAGTGATCCTTTATGTGGGTCTCAGTGAAAGCCGCGAACATTGCTTTTGCCTCTGCAAGCAGTCCACGGATGAGAGGTATTTTGTTGTTTGTTGCTGGCTTTAGACCCTGTATATTTGCAAAGAAGAATGTTATCGGACTGGTGGTATTGTTGGTACTGGGGGGGGATTTTTTTTCCGGCATTAGTATCTGTATCTGTTGGTTTGGATGGAGGCCATGACTGTGGTTCCACTCAGGAATGACTGGATTTGGTGTACGATTTCTGCCATTTCCTGCCAGTTTTTTTTCCTTCCTGGCACTAAAAAACCTCTCCCTCTTGAGTGGCTGTGGCTACCCAGGTTTTCCCATGGCCTGGATGTTTTGTATCTTTTTGTCCCCTTTAGATGGTATGCCTGGGAATTTAAGTTATAGCACAGTCTTTCCTGTACTGAAGAGGTACACAGTTCAGGGTGAAAAAGCTTACAGGAAGGGAGTTTGCATTTTCCTGTTGTCATATGGGCATGGCATTTTCTAGGGAGGTCATAGTTGCACGTCCCATCTGTTTTTCCAGATTTCCCATGCCAGCAGATACCAAGTGCATAGCATGTGCACAGGCTTGGTTTCCGTTTGCCTTGGGTTTCTGTGACTGTATTCCCTGTTGGTGCATGTTTCCCTGTCTTACTTCTATCCTCCCTAGCACCAACAATGGAGCTCCCACCAGTTGTTTTTGGTAATATATCCTCACTATTGCTAGTGGAGTCCTCTTGTTTGCTATTTCCTGCGGTATTTCTAGTTTGCAATATTGGTTTTATCTTATCTTTGACTACACTTGTTTCCCTACTATGGCTCCTGTCTCCTATGAGGTCATTTATATGTATTCCTTCCTGCGTATAATTCCCGACTACCTGGACAAAATTTCCAGCTTCACCATTACTGTCTCCCAGGACAGCATCTCCAGCTTCACCATTACTGTCTCTCAGGACAGCACCTCCAGCTTCACCATTACTGTCTTCCAGGACAGCACCTCCAGCTTCACCATTACTGTCTCCCAGGACAGCACTATCAGCCCCACATTTACTGACTACCAGGACTTCATCTCCAGCCTTACAGTTTCTGACTACATGGCCAGTATCAAGGGCAGTACCATTCAGCCCAGACTTTTTATGTTCCCATCTGTTGTAGAAAGCTTCCAGGTTTTCTATGAAAGCAGCTTTGATGTTGTCCTCTTTTAATACCCTTGTGATTTTAGTCCACAGATTTATCTCATTTGGGCATACCCAAAAACACTTCCCCGTTTTAACACTGCTTATAGCTAGTTCTTGGATATCTGCACAAGGGGCGTGACACCAATTTCCACAAAAATGACAATTTACCCATGTGGAAGCCCGTTTGTTTGACTGACCACAGACTACACACAGCTTCATAATGATTTGAATGGTTGATTTACTGCAATTCTACTAGCAACCTCTTGAATATTCTATTAATAACCTCCTTAAATGAAGCTCTAGCTATTTGTATTTCTGTTTCTAACTTTTTTGTATATTGGACAGCTTACCGTGCACGTTCCTGATTTATATTTAATGTTTGTGTTTATAAGGGCGCCTACAACCCCATCCGTTTACAGTCTGCTTTATTGTCCAACGAAACCGTTTGAAACCAGTCAAGGGTTCGGACCAGTCAAGGGTTCGGACAGTACGAACATTTATTTTTTTTGCCATTCATATTCATAATGAATTTACGTTCAGGAAGATTAGTAATTCATCACTGCATGAAGCACATTAAATATCTAGAAGAGACCTGGTTATGGACTGGCCGCGGGGGGCGTTGACCCCCTGAAACACCCTCCAGGTATAACATAATGGCTATGATTGTTAGGTAACATATATCATGTGATTCTTCAAGCTTAAGTAGTTGATAATAAACCTCCAAAAATCTTTATTTATCGTGATCAATGTTAACTTAAAACCAACAATTTACTTTCTGAACTAGATAAAAAAAAATTTGTTGGTTAGTGTTATTGTTGTTATTATTACCATTATTATTATTATGATCATGATTAGTATTGGTAGTAGGATAATAATAATAATAATATATAATAATAATAATAATAATAATAATAATAATAATAATAATAATAATAATATCTACATTTACTATAAGTACATGTACATGGTATACAGGCCTGGCTGACATACTAATATACAGAAAGCCCCTTAAACAGTAGAATTAGCAGTAGATTCAGCAGGAAGCATTTAAAGCTACGAGGATCATACAGCTCCTGGGGAATGGGGAATAATCATAGTTTGATTCGAGGAATAGGAGAGCAGCTCCAATTTCTTGGCTTAAGACCCGCCTCATCAGCATCAAGACTTCTACCTCGAAGTGTTTATACTGTGTAAAGTCTTTGTTACCTTATGTGTGTAAGAACACTGAGATGATTGTATGAGTGATACAGTGATTTGGTTTCCAAATCATTGTGTCACTCACACATGCTCGTTGTGAATTATTATAAAGGAAAACAGGTTAGAATAATTCAAGAGCAACAGCTGTGAAATTCCTCTGACTGAAGTTTTCAAACTTCCTTCTAGCATCCGCAGTTAACCTATTTTGCAGTTTAGTAATTATGTTAACGTCTTAATTCACGTTTTTTTGCAATATTTCAATTAAAAAAAACTGTTTCTACTCTAATTTATAATCTGTTTGTAGGTCATAGTTCAGTCTGTCACTAAAATAAAATGATAGTTTTGATTGGTCGTGGCAACATGATTATGGTGGGTTAGGTCGGTGGGTGGGTGAGTTTGGGTGGGTCTTAATCGGGCGGGTGGGTCAGGGAGTTTGGGAGTCTTGACTGGTATATAAACTGGGTCTCTCCTTGCTTATCCTCACTCGTAGCGGTACACAGCATCATCAGGTACGGACCTACTGTACACCTCTTGCTCTTTCTTGTTTAATTTACATTTCGTTGTTGTAGCGAATATTCGCTATGTATAACAAAGTATAACGTGTGTTTACGGTAGCCTATTATCTATCAATAGACAAAAATAATGCAGGATTTACGTATTGTATATATACCAGTCTCATATTTTAGAGTATTTGCCTAACTATTGTTGATATTAATTTGCACTGGGGTAAGGTTGTCGATAAACGAACAATATCTTGTTTCCTTCTCTTGCATTGCAGGATGAGTCACAGCGTAGTCGCCACAGCGCTGGTGGTAGTCGTCTGTTTCCTGCAACCATCATTAACCAGCCGTCCATACGGTGGTAGCCATGGTGGCAAGGTTGGTGGAGTCGGAGGGTTTGGAGGAGTCAATCCGGCTCTTGGTCTAAATGTGAGAGGCCTGTCCTTCGGTAAAGGATTCTTCAACCAACAGAATTTCCCAAACTTTGTGTCTGGCTTCAACCAGATGTACATCAGCCATCCTGGTAATGGCTACGGAGGCTGCAAGAACTGGTGCTTCAGCATGTATCAGAACCAGTACTATTGCTGTTCAACACCCTTAGGAGGTGTCGGAGTGGGTGGCATTGTAGGCAGCGGCGTCGGTGTCGGGGGAGTCGGGGGCTTTGGAGGAGGCAAGCCAGTTCTTGGACTGAGTGTGGCCGGTCTGCCTTTCGGTGAAGGATTCTTCACCCACCAGAACTTCCCTAACTTCGTTCCCGGCTTCAACCAGATGTACATCAGCCATCCTGGTAATGGCTACGAAGGCTGCAAGAACTGGTGCCTCAGCAGGTATCAGAACCAGTACTATTGCTGTTCAACCCCACATAACTTGGGCTTAGGAGGTGTCGGAGTCGGTGGTGGTGGCTTTGTAGGTGGTCACGGAGGCTCTGGTGTCGGTATTGGCCATAAAGGAGGCAAACCAGTTCATGGACTGAATGTGGCCGGCTTGTCTTTTGGTCAAGGAGTCTTCACCCAACAGAACTTCCCTAACTTCGTGCGCGGCTTCAACCAGATGTACACCAGCCATCCTGGTAGTGGCTACGGAGGCTGCAGGAACTGGTGTCGCAGCTATTTTCAAAGCCAGTATTATTGCTGCTCCTCCCAGGTGAGCTATGGCTCACGCTACCCTGGTTAAACCAAGACAAGCAAAGAATCATCAACGTAAGAGAGCCACAGATCAGTGGGAAAAAGCATGACAACACAATGTTTTGCGTTTACAACACTTCCTTGTTTGATATTTATTATTGTATTAAATATATGAAAATAAACTGTTAACTTCAATACAGCTTTATATACACCTTCAAAAGACCTAATCTAACTCCTGTGTGTCAGTTATTTTCTTTCTCACTTGCTACATAATTATGGTCCAGGAAGATCGAAACAATTCAGTTTTGTAATAAGATAACAGTAAACAGGTGATATCACAAAATGCAGAACAACCACTGTGAAAAAAACATTGAATTTTCAGGTGCTTTCGTGATTTCTCACATTATCATGGAAGCAGTGGTTGTTCTGCATATAGCACGTTTTATGTGCATCATTTAATAAGCTATTGATGCGGTATATTCTTCATTAACTGATGGAGGCTAAAGAGTGGACAACATCGATGACATTTTTCTTTCTTTAAGTAATAGTATACAATATCCAATTCGAAAGAAGCTTTAATGTGTGATATTCCAATTTCTAATTGCCATAAGCAGAATTACTATTCTTATTACATTAATGGGGGGAACACTGAACCCACAGGGGTCATACAGTGCCCCGGGGGATGGAAGGCATTCAGGCTTCACTGAAGGAACTGGAGCATAGGTCCAATTCGTTAGATCAAGAACTCCTCGCCAAAATCAAGGGACCTCCTTTGAGTTAACCATAGAGTAACCCGCACATAGGAGAGAAAGAAACTAAAGACAACGTTTCGGATCAACTTGGACCATTCACAAGAGACTTACATTCCCAGTCACGCAAGCGAAGAAGTACGAACAAGCATTGTTTTGTTGTTCGGGTGAAAATTTTCAGGTTTTTTAAGAATGCTTTAGCCCTGTTGTTATCCTAAGTTTGATAAACAACAAGAATCTTGGGAAAATTTATCTCACCATCTCTACCCGTGTTAGTGGACTTTAAACGGGCAAGTCAAACCCGAAATGCGTCGTAAGTCTCTCTCCCATGTTCGGGTTATCTGTGATTATTCCAGTCACGGTTTTGTTTCTTTTCTCTCTTTTTTATTTCCCCTAATAGATTTAAAAACAGGTGGCTGTCAAGCGCCCGGGTTTATTCAAGGGAATCAGAGCTTGCAACATTTATGAGTTTCCAGTCTTTTCAGGGGAGCATAAGACGAATTTTGGAAAAATTTCTTTTTTTTTTTTTCCTTTTTCAGACGTTGGTGGCGGGGAATTTACGAGGATTCTTTTGTTGGTGTATGAGCCCCGTGCAAAAATTTTTTTGTTGTTCTGTATGCTTCTTCGTCGGATGGAGCGGTCACTAAAATGGGGACAGCAAAAGCAGTGGCGAGGTAAAGGAAGGTGATCAGTCCCTGGGTTTTTGAAGTAGTTTTGGGGGTGATCATCTTTTCAGTTTAAAAGTAGTTTTAAGGAATTAGTCTTCAGTTTGAAGATTTTTTGGGGTGATACCCTTTTCAGTCTTGAGAAGTGCAAAAATTCCGTTTCGAGAAATGAAAAAATTGACTTTTTACGGGGACATAGGGCCCCCTTTTTCCCTTTTTTTGCTTTTATATTATAAATCTTATTATATTATAATGACCCTTGGGGGTCATTTAGCGCATCTAGTGGTGGGGTCGACCTCGGCCCGCTAACGCGAGAGTTCCCTCCCGGCAGACAGTAAAGGGTTTTGACCTTGCCCCTCTCTTTCGCAAGGACCTCCATCGTTTCCCTCCCTTTCAGATGGTTCCTTGATGCGGGTCTGGGGCTCTGGGTCCAAATAATGGCGCGCTTTTTTTCCCAGATAAAACTGGATTATTTTTCCCCTTTTCGACATGACAAATAGTTAACAAATGACAAGTTTTTAAACCCCCTTCTTTTTTTAAACCCCCCCAAAACTGGCATACATTTAATGTTTTGATTGGTTTTCCCTTTAATTTTAAAAAAGGGGAATTCTTCATTAAAGCTAAAATGAATATACTGGGTTTTAAAATTATTGGGCCCATATTCATTAGTTTTGTAAATAGGTAGGATTTTTCAGTGTTCTACAATGATGCGGAAAGGGTTTAAAGCCCCCGGGGGGAAAATTTGAGTTACTCAACCCCGCTCATACAAATTGGGTTGGCGGAAAAAAGCTCTACCTGGGGAGTTAAAATCTTCCTTATCAGGAGCGCCCGGGGGAGAGTTTGGGCTTTAAGCTTTCCCTAAAATTCAAAAAGAGTACCCATAAATTTTTAGAAGACCTTGGTCGGGTAATCTTGGGTCTGGAAGGCGGTTAAAAAAACCCCAAAAGTTTCGGGAAACGTGAAGGGGCTAAGTTTTTTAAGTTTTTTTAAACTCTGATCAGGGGAATATTGTGGAAAGCCCCCTGAAAAAAACTCGATTACTTGTGTTAGTGTTGTTTTTAAAAGTTTTATAAACCCCCCTACAATACTTATCTTTTGCTCATTGTGTTTAAGTGTAGAAAATCTATAGGGGGTGCCTTTTGAAAATTTTAAAACGGTTCCCTTTGTTTAAAGTGAAATACTAATGATATTATTTCTACTCTAATTGTTCTGTCGAAATTTCTGTTTTAAAGTTCGAATTATTTAAGGAATAAGGAAACATTACTGTTTATTAATGAATTTAATGAAACCGCAGAAAAGGGGGGGTTGATAGCCGGGGGTGGGTGGTACCAGGGGTGGGCCGGGTGCCAGGGTGGAGGTAGACAGGGGTGGGTGGGGGCCCAAGGGTGGGGGGATCAGGGGGGGGGTGGCACCGGGTGGGTGGTACCCAGGGGGGGCTGGTACCGGGGGTGGGCTGGTGGCCTGGCAGGGCTGGTAGCTGGGGGGGCTGTAAGGGGGTGGGGTGGAAACCCGGGGGTCGACTGACAGTGGGGGTCAGGATAGCCCAGGGTGAGCTGAACCCCAGGGGTGGGCTGGTCCATGGGTGGCGGTAGTTAGGAAGGATGGTAGCCAGGGTTTGGGGTAGCCTGGAGGGGGCTGGTACCAGGGGTGAGGGGTAGCCGGGGGAAAGGGGATGGTCAGGGGGAGCTGGTGCCGGGGGGGGTGGTCCCAAACACAAAAAAACCCTTAATAGGGGAGGGGAAAGGGGGTTTGATATTGGGGGGGGAATGATATCGGGGGGGCTGATGGGCATTGGGGTCTGGGGATAGCTTAAAACCCCTTTAAATTTGCCCTTGGGTGTCTTTTTACAACGTCGGTATACTCTTAAAAAGTACGTCCCCAGTCAGTTTTCACCGTCTTGTCTTCAAAGGATGAGAGTTTGGATTAGATTTAGAGAGACATATTTTAGGTGTTTCTCGTTTATCACGGCGTAAGAGCTTTAAGGCAGAAACTCACAGTCGTGGGTAAGAGAAGTATAAACACAGCGTTTGCTGTATTTACAACTAAGATTGTTAAGGAGCATGTAAAGGAGCAGGTGTGAGGGAGCACTAAAAAGGGAAACGTGAATGACCCCTGTAAAAGAGCACTGAATGTTCACTGTAAAGTAGCATGAAAGGAGACTAAAAGGACACTGTGAAGGAGCACTGTCAGGATCAAAAAAGAAGGTAAACTTTTATTTAGCCCCTTTTTGAAAGTTTTTTTTAAAACTATTATGCCATTATTTAACGCCAAACGGTTTTACAGTCATTCCCAGTCATCGGAAAAATATCTTTTTCCAAAACCAGGGACAAAAGATAACACTTGAGGAAAAATTTCTCAATTAACAGCAATAAAAAAGGCAATTATCTCTAAATTATTGTCTTATATGATAGAAAAATTAATTTTTTCTTCTCAGGAAACAAAATTTAAAATTTGTTGGCACACGTAAAAAAATTACCGCCCCCCCCCCCCTTTGCTTTATCTTAGCTATAAATGTCATACCGAGATGATTTTTTTAATGAATTTTAAATAAAAACATAATAACATTAATTTCTCGATCTTCAGCAAAATCGCGAAAATTTCCCAAACATTTTTTTTTTAAATTTTAATGTTTTGTCCCCCGTACCAGTAGTGCAGTTGACAAGTAGGTACATCAAAAGAATATTGAAAAAAAATTTTTTGTATGTATTCAACTCACCAATTAACGAGATAACGAGATAATTTAAAGGGAGGTTTATCTTGAAGAGAAAGCTGTTTGGAAACAAGGCTAAACGACTTGTAGGTGTTGTATTTTTTCCCTTTATTTCTAGATTGTTTCTTCCTTTGTAAGTAAATTTCCTGTGCTCCAGAGGTCGGGGGACTTGGAATGGTTTTGGCTTTTGTGGCTTATTCGAATGAATTTTCCTGGGGAAAAAGCATCTCATCATCTCATCATCTTTGACATCATCATCTGCAGGCAGTGGCTTATTACCCTTGCAGCACCCGGGGTCTTGGGAACAGTTTTGTTGTTGATCGCCCAAATGGGGAAGCTCTCTGACGTGAAACATTCTCGATGAATGTTGCTCTAACAAACTCAGTAAAGGCCTGAGTTGGCTAGTTTCTTGAAACGAATACCATCCCATTAAAGCCCCCCATTCATTACCACCTTTCTCCAACTTTTCCCCTGGGTTTACCCCCGATGTCCCCGTGTCCATGGTGTCCCCCACCCGGAAAAACTGCCCCCCCCAATGATGCCCCCAGCCCGGAAAAATTTCCCCCCATGCTTCCCCCTCCCCGGGAAATCTTCCAATAAAGCCCCCATCCCCCGGGATTGCTGCCCGGGAAACCAGTTGGGGTTGGTTTGATAGTTGCAGGAAACAAAAAATTACTAAAGGCGGGAGCGATTGTGTCGACTATACTGCAATGTAAGACAAAAAAATTGATGCCCCGTGAAAAATCTGATATGATACTGGATGAAATGATGATGCTGCCATGATACTGATATGACAAAGATGATACCGACGTAAATGACCATCCCCGGGTTTGGCCCCACAACCCCGGGGTCACAGCAAACATCATCAATTAAAATGAAGTAAAGGTTGAAAAAAATCAATCTTTACATTTATAACAATATGAAAAAAAAACAATACAATTACATTTAACTTTTAGTAGGTTGAGAAAAATTTTTCTAAAAATTTTGTTTGTTGATAAGTTTTGTGTATTGTTTTCTTTATTAAAGGTAAAGCCATTTTCATTATAAAGGAAAAAAAGGGCATTTTTTTGC